AGGACAACAAACGAGGGGCTGTGACAAACTGTTTCATCGAAGTTTCACCAACTCATCAGGAGGCTGAACCCTCAACAGTCTGCAGAATCCCCTCACTGATTACACTGTAAATGATAATCTAGCTTAACCAAAATCAAAGTAGACTATCACTCACCCACACCAGATGGAAAACTCTACAGACTGTCGGTTCACACCCCATCACAAGCCAGCAAAACATCCACGGGACGGGCTGAACGCCCGAACGTACGGGACTCCTTCGGGAGGCGTTCGGCCGTTCGGGCCGAACGCGGACCAAAAAAAAAAACAAAAAAAAAAAAAAACAAAAAAAACAAAATCGAAAAATTCCGAAACAAAACTATGTTATGTAGAAAACTAAACTCAACAAAATTTGCCTGGGCACTACATCCAAATTCTTTACCAAATTGGAATTAAAAATCGAATACAGAAAATAAACACTATGATAAAAATGAAAAAAAATAAAAAGAGAATTAAAATGAGTGAGTGTGCCAGCACCTTTTAAACACCACCATCTTTGCCAATTTTTAATTCTTTTTTGGCATTGACAAATGCCTTGAAAATTTACAGATTTGTATTTTACGTAATCAATAAATCATTAAACATTTTTCAAACAATAATAAATTTTTTTAGGCCCCGAAATAAAGTGAAAACAAAAAGTTAAAAGTGAAAAAAAAAAAAATAGTAAGTGGGCGAGCACGTTTTGACACCCCATCTTTGACGATTTTTAATGTTTTTTTGGCTTAGCAGAATGACTTCAAAATTTGTAGGCGTGTAGGTTACATCATAGAGAACGCACAAAAACAAATTCAGAAAAAAAACTTTATTTTTAGGCCCCAAAATATTTTTTGGCGGGGGCCGAACCAGGAGGTTTTCGGCCCCCGAACGGGACCCCGAACGCCCGAACGTTCCGGGGCCAGCCCAGGGGCCCCCGAACGTTCGGTCAAGTAACCCTGTATATATATATATATATAACGAAAGAAAGGGAATAAAATTTTCAACCGGGTTGTATTTTGAGAATCACGAATCTGATCTGGGTTCATTGCAATACTATATATATATATATATCGTCACAAACAAAACTGCCCAGTAAACCGTAGGCAAAGAGAGAGAAGATGACAACAAACGACGGGCTGTGACAAACTGTATATATATATAAATATATTTTTTTATTTTTTTATTTTTTCTTTTGCCCAAAGAAAGGAAAAAAATAAATTGAACAGGGTTGTTTTTTTTTTTACTATCGTGTTCATGATATGGGTTCAGTGTGTCGAGTCAGTTTGTCAATGGTTCAGTCTCCTTATGAGTCCGTCAAACTCCAACGAAACAGTTTCTCACACATCTCATCGTTTGTTGTCCTTTTTTTTCTCTTTCTGCCAACGGTTTACCGGGAACTTATGTTTGTGACTATATATATATATATAGATATAGATATAGATATATTCAGCCTTCTGATGAGTCGGTGAAACTCCGACGAAACAGTTTGTCACAGCCACTCGTTTGTTGTCCTCTTCTCCCTCTCTGCCTACGGTTTACCGACCAGTTCTGTGTCTGTGCCTGCATGTGTGTATATCGTGGGTGTATATGGTTAGCGTTGCGTATGAAGTAGAAGTAGAAGAAGAAGAAGAAGAAGAAGAAGAAGAAGAAGAAGATGATGAGGAAGAAGAAGAAAAAAATATATATGAGACGAAGACAAAAACAAGACCTAGCATAAAAAAAAAAAAAAAAAAAAAAA